TTGCATCTTGGCTGCCATCCGTGTGCATGCTGGAAAGCTGTTCGCATTGGCGGCGGCGGCGGCAGCAGTTCAGAGGAGGCGAGAGGCTCTTGTGGAACAGCTCAGGCTGCTCCAGGCTGTGGTGAGGCCAGGCTGTGGTTCCCATCCAGGACTTTGAAGTGGAGCCAGCGGGTAGCTTTGGGGCATGGTCCTGGCCGGGATCCAGTGCCAATGGGGTGCGGGGGAGGCAGGCAGGGGAGCCAGCAGGCCAGGGCGGAAGGGGTGGGGAAGGGAATTTAAGGTGGACGGGGGAGGGGGGAGGGACGTGCACACTGCTGCGCTTTGGTGGCACAGCTGCCTCGTATAGCGAGGAACACACAGCAGGGCCTTGTTCCAACAGGCTGGGCTGGGCCGAAGGGGAGGGGATTGGGGAGCCCAAACAGCTCGTTGGCTGCTGGGCCAAGAGTGAGTGAGCGGTGGGGGTGGGGGGGCACATGGCACCCTGCCTGAGCAAGGGGCAGGCGGCACAGTTTCCTCCCAGTTGTCCTGCACTCTGTAGCGTCAGAGCAGAACTGGACTGCTTCCTCTGCTTCTCTTGCCATGTGTCAGTTGCCATCGGGCTCAGCCCTAACATTGCAAGGAGGAGGAGGAGGAGGAGGAGGAGGGGGAGACGGCAGATCCGGCAAACAAACAACGCTCCCTTAACCAGAGTCACTCTAGTGGATTCTTTTCCCTGTCGTGGAGTTCATTGTGTAAAGGGAGAGTGTAAAGCTTGCAGACTTGAAAGGGAGCCGCTCTGGAAGACACAGCTCGAGAACTGCAGCCACACAGTTCCAAAAGGGCTGGAGGTGGCCTTGAACCAATTAAATTCAAGCAGGTGATGAGGCCATTTACGATTTTTTGAACCAGGAGGCAACAAGAAAGATAGATGATGACGGTGATGATGATGATGAAGAAGAAGAAGACAGACAGATGATAGATAGATAGAGAGATAGAGAGAGACAGACAGACAGAATGTCAGAGCCAACAACTGGCTGCAGAATACTCACCAAATGCCCTCTTCCTGGACTTTATTTTGCAGTCTCGTCGGGCAGCTGGACTCATGGCCGGGGTGACCTAGCAGCAGAGGGCAAGCAGTTCCCTGGCTCCACGCAGTAGCAAAATCAGGAGACGATGCATTTGGCCACGTGCCTTTACCTTCTGGGGGTTGGATGCAGCCCCTGGCCTGAAATTTGCCCACCTTGGCACTACTACCAATTGACCTGGGGAACCAGGAGGCTATTGAGAAACAGGGACACCGAGAGGTGCCGGAACTCTCAAGAGGGAAATGAAGTTTTAAATCTGTATACTGAAAACTCATGAACTTTTAAACATTTTAAAAAGAATTTTGTCAAAGAGGGTCCGGAACTCCATTCTGGCACATTCCCCCGGAAAGAAACCCTGCAGAGACAGATCTGGATGCAATTCATTTTGGTCTTGTTGGCTTGACCAGGCCTGCTTATAAACCAGAAGACTTTTCGGCTAAACATTAGGAAGAACTTCCTGACAGTTAGAGCGGTTCCTCAGTGGAACAGGCTTCCTCGGGAGGTGGTGGGCTCTCCTTCTAGATGGCCATCTGACCGCAATGCGGATTCTGTGAACTTAGGCGGATCATGAGAAGGGAGGGCAGGAAGGGTTCCCTCAGTGCTTAGTTCTTGTGGCCTTTTTTTACACACCCAGGGAAATGCTGATTGCCACTTTGGGGTCAGGAAGCAAATAAGGAGGGGGTTTTTTGGTCATCTCCTGGGCATGGAACAGTGGTCACTGCCAATGTTCCCTCTAAGCTGTGGAGTCTTGTGAGCAAAAATTCTACTTTGTGAGCTATCGACGTTAAAGTTGTGAGCGAGCGATTTGGCTCCTGCATGAATCAGTTTGCTCTAGAGCCAACCTTCCTGAGCTAAGACAAACAATGTGTGAGCCGGAGGCTATTAAACTGTGAGCTAGCTCACACTAACTCAGCTTAGAGGGAACACTGGTCACTGGGTGTGTGTGGGGGGGAGGTATTTGGGAATTTCCTGCATTGTGCAGGGGGTTGGACTAGATGACCCTGGAGGTCCCTTCCAACTCTATGTTTCTATGATTCTGTGACTCTACGCCCTAACATTGCAGCGAGGAGGAGGAGGAGACAGTAAATCCTGCAAACAAACCAAGCCGCCTTAATCAGAGTCACTCTGACCAGCAAACCAGAAGTCTGCCCCACCACAGGCTACCTGGAATCCTTTTGAACCAGGATGACCCAGGATTGAACCTGAGACTTTCTGTGTGCGTTCTGCCACTAACGTCTGGCCCCTTCCCCAAAAGGTACCACACTCTGCTACTGCTGGCAGGGGGGCATCTGCCGGGAACCCATCCTGTCAACTCCAGTAGCATAAAATACAGTGCGGACAAACAGTGACTACAGCAGGGCAGCTGAGTTGGGAACGGAAGCATCAGAGGGCAGATCTATGGCATCCTGCTCACACTGAGCTCCCTCCCGACACCAGACTCCACCCTCCCCTGGGCTTCACCCCCAGTTCTTCAGGAATTTTCCAGCCCAGAGTTGGCAACCCTAATTCCAAGGTCCAGGGGTCATTTCATAGAAAAAGAGGTGCAGGAGCTTATTAGCATATTAGCATAACTTATTCACATGTGCCACACCCCCTGACATCACCGAAAGTGTGTCAGAAGGCAACACCCACCGCTCAGGCTCCACTGGACTGTTTTGGATTGCTAGTTATTGGGGGGGGGGACGTGTAGATCTGTCCCTCACAGAGGGAGAGCTTGTACCTGAATAAAACTTGGTCTTAAAGGTACCACTGGACTGTTTTGGACCGGGGGGCGACCTGGCTGCGTCTTGCTCTGACTGAGGGCTGCTGGGAGCAGGGGGTGGGGCTTGTTGCATGTGCCCACCCCCTGGGCTCTTTACTGCCAGAGCTCCGCTCCTGTGTGCTCCTGCAGGGAATGACCCCTGCCAAGGTCTACTGTATCTATGGAGCAATTCAGGCTATGAGCAGCTGCCTTGCTGGGTCAGAACTTGTTGGGTCAGCACAGTGTTCTGTCCTCAGTGGTGCCCAGCCGGATACTTCTGCTTCATAAGGGGCTGGTCTTCCCGCAGGGGAAAAGAAATGAGAGAATGAGAACTTGGGGAGGGGCAACAGCAGATGACCTTATGCTGAATGGAAGGATGACATAAAATAGGTGCGAGGGTATGACCACAAGAGAGATGATAGCAAAGAAGGAACACTGAGGACTAGCAACCTGAGGCTGACCAAGAGGATGAGTGGGGCTGCGGCCGAGGCAGGCCATGATCCGGCAGAAGAGGGCCCGGCAGGAAACCCGGCAGAAGAGGGCCCGGCTCACGAAACCCTCCCTTTTGTTCTGTTTGGACAGGCTAAACTGGCGGGGGAGAGAGGGGCACGGGCTGTCCTCTTCGACATCACAGATGACCAGGGCGCCGCTGACCAGGTAAAAAGACCCTCCTTTTCCAGCCAGTTCCTCCTTTACTTGCCGTTCCCTATGTTCTGTAAAAGAATCCATTTGACTGGTCTTATACCCCCACCACCCTGCCCCTTACATTCTGTGAACTGGGATCTTTATTGACTTATTAGCTAAATGCGCTCCTGGAAAGACAGAGATGTGTACGAAAATGGAGCCATCAAGATGGTGAGCAAACACCACACCCAATTTCCCATCCCAGAAGGCTTTGCCCAGCCGGCTGCCTCCTCCTTTGGGCTCCTCGCTTCTGCCTTCTGCTTCCACAAGTCCTGTTGTGCTTACCAGGCCCTATTAACAATCTTTGCCCCTTCTCTCAGTGTGAGAGGGTGTTACTTGCTGGGTGTGCAAACAGCAAAAAATAACTACCAAGTAGATACTACACCCTATACTTTAGCCATCAATCGATCAATCTCAAAATTAATTTTATGATTAATTTTACAATTTCCTCGAATAATTTTCATTTCTAAGTGTTTCCATACAGTGAAATACTCAATCGAATTTGAAAATAATTTATAGCAAGTTCCACCGAACGGTGACCATATGAAGCAACGGCTTGTGGCCACAAATGCCTCAGAAGTTAAACAACAGTACAAAAAAGCGCACAAGTGCTGAAAGACGCACCAGTCCATAGAGATTCTCAACTGGAGAAAAATTACTCTCAGAGAATCCAGCAGAATCCAGTGACGTGCCTCCTAGATTTACAGCACGTTTTGGCGATTCTTCCTCAAAGTCGCAAGAGAAGTATCTCTCAATATTGTTCAGAACCGATGACTGTCTATAAAGCAATCTTTAGAGAAGTTTTTCCTCGTTCTGGTTATTATCAGATGACTGCTGAAGTGTAGCATGTAGTATATACTTGGTGGTTATTTTTTGCTTTTGGATAGACATCCATCGAGGGTCCCCTTTTCTGTCTAGGCATGCAAATAGGTCTGAGAAGAGGATGGGGACTGGTGCAGTGCTAAAGAAGGCACTGATGTCTCCCGTAAGCATGGGGAAGCCAAGCTATTTCCCCTGTGCCGTTCCTTGGGGGCTCTTTGTCTCACGAAAGGTTCTCAAATGCAGCCTACAATCTTCCTCTTTCTTCCAGACAGCTCCTTTTCCACCTGTGCCAGCAGAGCAGTTCAGGAGAAGGCAGCAGGCAGACTTGCAGAGGCAGGGACAGTTGTTACTGAAGACATGTGGGCCCAAGAAAGTTTTGTTTCCTGAGGCAGAAAAATCCAAAATTACATCCCTCTCCTTTCACCAAGAAAAAAAATAAATATAGCAATGAATTAAATCACTGATAATGAAGGCCCTTGGACAGTGTGCCAGATCTGTGGCTGGCAGCGGGGCACCTTGCTCCGCTGAAGGGTAGGGCCGGCCCTGTGGCATGACGAAACTTAGTGGCACATGGGCAGCGGCGCTTTTGGCAGCACTTGCCTTTCAGAAGCACGGGCTGCTGGGGCCCAAGCATGCCTGGAAGCCCCATGACCTGAAAATAAAATTAATTACATTTACTCCATTTATACCCCCACCTTTCTCCCCAAAGGGGAGCCCAGGTGGCTTACATCATTCTCCTCTCCTCCATTCCGTCCTCACAACAGCCCTGCCAGGTAGGTTAGGCTGAGAGTGGGTGGCTGGCCCAAGGTGCCCTGACCTGGATAACCCAGGCTAGCTCGATACCGTCAGATCTCGGAAGCTAAGCAGGGTCGGCCTTGGCTAGTATTTGGAAGGACGACCTCCAAGGAGCACCAGGGCCAGGACGTTGGGGCAGGCAATGGCAAACCACCTCTGAAACGTCTCTTGCCTTAAAAACAAGTCTAGCTCGCCACCTAGTGGTGCATAACACTACCAAGAGCTAGAACTTCTGGCTGCCGGACAATCTTAAGATCTCCTGGCTATTCTACACACACAATGCCATACGATAATTATAATTATTGGCCCAAGGTGACCCAGCATGCCTCCGTGGCAGAGTAGGGATTCCAGCCTGGTTCCCCCCGATCTTAGTCTGACACCCTAACCACTACACCACACTGGTTCTCTCAGATGGATGGGATGTGTGTGTATGTGGAGGCTGGCTTTAATATCAGAGATCGATCAGATTTTCATACACAACAAAGTTCTTTTAAGGTAGGGTTGCCAACTCTGGGGTGGGAAATCCCTGGAGATTTGGGGATGGAGCCTGAGGAGGGCAGAGACCTCAGTGGAGTATGATGCCATAGAGCCCACCCTCCAAAGCAAGCATGTTCATGAGCGCCAGTTTGGTGTAGTGGTTAAGAGTGCGGACTCTAATCTGGGAGAACCAGGTTTGACTCCCCACTCCTCCACATGCAGCTGCTGGTGTGACCTTGGGTCAGTCATGAGTTTTTTCAGAGCTGTTCTTTCAAGGGCAGTTCTCGAAGGAGCTCTCTCAGCCCCACCTACCTCACAGGGTATCTGTCGTGGGGGGGGGGAAGGGAAAGGAGATTGTAAGTCACTCTGAGACTCCTTCAGGTAGTGAAGGGTGGGATATAAATCCAATCTCTCCTCCTTCTGTCCTCCTCCTCTTCTTCTTTTCTTCTTCTCCTCCCCTCCTCCTCCTCCAGAGGAACTGATCTCTGTAGCCTGGTGATCAGTTGTCATTCCAAAAGAACTCTGGGCCCCACCTGGAAGTTGGCAACCCTATTTTAAAGGCACAAGCCTTGCAGAACCTCCTTACAGAGAGGGTCTGACAGGCAATCGTATCGCTTGCCACACAGGCACAGGCTTGCGTAGGTATAACAGTATATGGATACAAAGCCCTGGTGGCAAGGACACGGATGTTGCAGGGGAAATGGCTGCTGTGTGGGCAGGACCGGGAAGACCCAAAGTTTCCCACCCACACGGCAGCCCTCCAGGCAATGCTGTGGTCTCTCCCAAAACTTCAGAGTAAAGCAGGGTTGGAGAACAGCCTTGGAGGGGCACAAACGCACCACAACGTTGTGGGGAAGCAGGGGAGAAATCTGCTTCTCAACAGCATAGAACTCGGGGCAACTAACCCAGGTGGCAACACCCAGGGGTCTTGGAGGTTGGTTAAGACACTTGGATCTGGTTGATGCACAGGATAAGACATTACTGTGCAGTTTTTTTAAAAAATGTTGTTTATGATGCTGCTAGTTATAGTGGTATTGGTTTTGGAGACTGGGTATCTGCTTTGGGTTTACATGAGCTTTCCCTATCTAAAATATGTTAAAGGATACAGGTTTTTGCTTTCCATAAACCACCCTGCGGGTGGGATAGACATTTTACATGCAAAAATAGTTGGGATGCCTCTGTAAGGAGAGGAAGGTGCCTTGTGCATACTTAGAGGGGATGATTTCAAAGACATAGAGACATCCTGATGGAATGCATCCTATTTCAGTTAACTGGAAGGGTATATCATTTGGATTTCTGTCTCAAAATACCTGGCGTGATTTGGTCCACGGGGTCGCAAAGAGTCGGACTCGACTGTGCGATGGAACGACAAACTCAAAATACCAAGAGATTTGGGCCATGGGTGACAAAAAGTTGTACACAGGTGTTGTTGTGCCCTTGCAACAAATTATGAACCCAAGCAATTTTTATGCTTTGGCTGTTGGTAGTAATGAGAAACTGCATTGGGTAACAGCACGACAGATGGGCCTTAACCCAGGTCCTCCCTGGATTCCTACTGAAAAGCCATTCCAGTGCCATTCCAGGGCAGGGAGGACCCAAGACCCACAAGAAACAGATTTTAGACTTTTGAAAAGAACACTTATCCGTCATATCCAACTCTTTTATTTGCTTTGTTTCCCACTGTCTGAAATCCTAGTCCACCTGCATTGTTCATTGGAGGCCCTTGCTGCCTGATGGAACTGCTTTTTCATATTTTGTAATCCACCCTGTCTCTCTGTAATGGCCAATGGCTTCATACAGTGGTGACAAACCTATGGCACAGGTGCCAGAGGTGGCACTCAGAGCCCTCTCTGTGGGCACGCGTGCCATCGCCCCAGCCAGGCCCAGACCATTATTAAAGTGTTGAATTCTCTGCCAAATAATTTTAAGTAAATGAAAGCATTTGGGATTGCTTTCCTTACTTTGTTTGGATCATCTTAAGTTAATGTATGAGTTGTTTTTTTCTAAAGTAAAACAGTATTCAGGTTAAATTGCCGTGTTGGCACTTTGCGATAAATAAGTGGGTTTTGGGTCGCAGTTTGGGCACTCGGTCTCTAAAAGGTTCGCCATCACTGGCTTAATACAATAAACCTTAAACCTAAACCTTGAATCTCAGTGAGAAAGGTGAGCTAATGATGAAGTCACAGAATTGTAGGGCAGAGCTGGAAGTGACCTCCAGGGTCATCGAGTACAACCCCGCAAAATACCTCCCCACCCCCTGTGACCACTGTTCCACGCCCAGAAGTTGACAAAAAACCTCCAGGATCTCCAGCCAAAGCCAATGATAATAATAACTCCCAAACTCCAGGGGCACATCCTAAGTCTAAGTTTGTCTCTCCGCAGCTGAGGAAGCCCCGGGGGCTCAGTCACCCCGTCGTTCTCATCTGGGGCCACGATGCTGAGCTGCTGATGGGGGTGGTCAACAATAACCGAGAAGCCCATGTGAAGATCGAGGTGAAGGAGATGCCGGCTTGGGTGAGTGGCTGGGCCCCAAATCTCAACATGTCGCCATAACACTCGTGAGGAGCAGTGACCTGGGATATATTTTATTCATTTCTCTCCTGCCTTCCTGCTCAGTCAGAGCCACCGTGGCAGCTACCCACTAAAAGCCAAACATTATCAAACACATCATAAAACCAACCAAAAGTGAAATATATAGACAGACAAATATCCCTGGGGATGGATAGTTTTGTATCTTGACCCAGAAGGCCCACCTAAACCCAATAGACGAGCACACCCAAAGCAAGGCTTCAGAACATGAACGCAGTCGTGGTCAGCAATGCTCCCTGTAAGCCGTGGAGTCTTGTGAGCAAAAACTCTATTTTGTGAGTCACTGGCATCAAAGTTGAGAGTGAGCAATTTGGCTGCTGCATAAATTAGTGTACTCTGGAGCCATCCTTCCTGAGCTAAGACAAAAATGTGTGAGCCGGAGGCTAAAAAACTGTGAGTTAAAAAACAAGTGGTTAAGACGCTGAACCAACAGCTCAAGTGGTTAAGACGCTGAACCGCAGGCTGTGGAAGGTCAGTAGTTTAGCAGTTCGAGACCCGTGTGCCGCAAGATGGAGTGAGCTCCCGTCTCTAGTTCCAGCTCCTGCCAACCTAGCAGTTCGAAAGCAAGACATTGCAAGTAGATAAATAGGTTCCGCTTTGGTGGGAAGGTCACAGCATTCCGTGCGCCTTGGTGTTTAGTCATGCTGGCCACATGACCACGGAAACGTCTTCAGACAGCACTGGCTCTTCGGGTTTGAAACAGAGATGAGCACCGCAACCCTAGAGTTGGATTTGACTGGCTTTTGAGCAAGGGAACCTTTACCTTTACCTAGCTCACACTAACTCAGCTTAGAGGGAACACTGGTGGTCAGGTAGATTTGGATGGGAGTCAGCAAGTGTTAAGGTATGCTGGTCCCAAACTGTGAAGGGCTTTAAGGGCCAGCAACTTGATTTGAGCCCAGAAACAAATGTTGAACCCTACATTCAAAAGAGATCCCTGAAGTGGGACTTACCAGTGACCTGGAAGCCTGTTTTCACATTGTTTCATGGAGTCTGGGCCAGAAGCCTGTTTTCGCATTCCTTCATGGAAGTGGGGCCTACCCATGGCTAGGAGCTAGGACTTCACGTTGTCTTTGTTGCTGCTTCTCTGGCTCCACTTTGGCCTGTCCACGATCTTCCTGCTGTTAATTGTGACCTGATCATGTCTATTCAATATGCTGGTTCTGCCTCAGCATCTTTCTCCTCTGTGCTGCCTCCTGCCTTGGGTGTGAACACAGGAACACCTGAAGCTGCCTTATACTGAATCAGACTCTTGGGCCCCGGTCACACGAGCGGGATAATCCGCAGGGGAAGGGAGGCTTTTAGAGCCGGAGCAAAATGACGCGCGGTGGCTTCGCCCTCGAGGCTCTGTGCTCGGGCCTTTGGCAGCCGATCACACGAAACGAGGCAAAACGGCAGTAATGCATTTGTGTGCATGTGTGGGATGCCGATGGGCGCTGGCTGCGACGGGCTACCAGCGCTTCCCGATCAGACGCCCGCACGCGCCGCGCGTTTTCCAGAAGATATTGCGTGGTTCCCAGTATCTTTTAACTCTGCTTTTTCGGTCCGAAGCTACGGGTTGGAGAGCGCCACGCTTCCCAGATGTTGAGATATGATTGCGCCAGTTTAATCTGCAGGCAAGCTGTCCCTCTCATGGGGCAAATTTTCTGTGTGACCAGGGCCTTGGTCCATCAAAGTCAGTATTGTCTACTCAGACTCGGGTTGCCAGATCTCCTCGCTGTCACAGCAGGGGGATTTGGGAGGTATCCCAGGGGTGGACAAGATGTCGTCGGGCGATGTCCCGACGTGATGACATCACCCAGAAGTGATGACATCACCCAGAAGTGATGACATCACCCAGAAGTGACGTCATCACGCTGGCGATGTCACGTGCGACACTCTGGTGTTTGGGCAAAAACTCTATGGGTTTTTTTTGCTTCAGAACCATAGTATGCCCCCAAACCAGAGTGTCACGTGCAACGTCGCCAATGTGATGATGTCACTTCTGGGTGACACCGTCACATTGGGGACATTGCCCAACCATGTACCTATTTGGGGGCGGGCGTTTTCCCGCTGGCCAGTTGGCCTGTGGCGGATCACAGCCCCCAAAAGTGGGGGAACCCTCGCTGGGACCTGGGGGCTGGCAACCCTAATGCAGACTGGTGGCAGCTCTCCAGGGTCTCAGGCAGAGAGAGGTCTTTCACATCACCTACTGCCAGATCTTTCAACTGGAGACACTGGGGATTGAACTTGGGACCTTCTGCATGCCAATGCTCTACCACTGAGCCACAGCCCCTCCCATTACCTTTCAGCTTCTCTGCCTTGCTTCCCCCTTCATTAACCCATGAATGTAAGGCATTGTCCCTCCTGCTCCAGGGCTGCTGAAAAGCTGCAAATCTCAGTGCTGTGCTGATTTTCTTTTGGGTTGTCAACTTTTAGCTGGGACCTGGCAGTCTCCTGCTATTACCGTTGATCTCCAGATAACCAAGATCAGTTCCCATGGAGAAAATGGCTGCTTTGAAGGTGGACTCTATGACATCATACCCTGCTGAGGCCCCTCCCTTCTTCATACCCCACCTCTCTAGACCCCACCCTCCAATCTCCAGGAAATTCCCAACCTAGAGTTGGCAACCCTAAATTGGGGTGTGCATGGGGGTGTGGGTGAACAAGACTTGTTTTGCGAGATCTCCATCCTCTCTGTTACGTTGCTTGGGATCCGGCAAAGCATTGCTGTTTTTCTTCTGTGATTCCTTCTGCTTCTTCTCTAAAGCCTTTATTTACGCACCACTTTCTAGCAGTTCGGAAGCAAGAAATTGCAAGTAGATAAATAGGGACCACTTCGGTGGGAATGTAACAGCGTTCCGTGCACCTTGGTGTTTAGTCATGCCGGCCACATGACCACGGAAACGTCTTCGGACAGCGCTGGCTCTTCGGCTTTGAAACGGAGAGGAGCACCGCAACCCTAGAGTCGGATTCGACTGGCTTTCGAGCAAGGGGACCTTTACCTTTTTACCTTCTACCTGTCCACTTTGGCTATCCTTACCTCCTGTTTGTCTGGATTATTCTGCTTCTTAGTTTGTAGAGGATGTTTCTTCCACTCATTCATCTTTTCATCCTGCCTTTCACCAGTCTTCTAATCACCACGTAGGTTTGCCAGTGTATGGGGGGAGTAGAGTTGCCAGATCCAGGCTGGGAAAGTCCTGGAGATTTGGGGATGGAGCCTGGGGAGGACAGGGACCTCAGTGGGGTACAATGTCATATGAATCCACCCTCCGAAGCATCCATTTCCCCCAGGAGATCTGATCTCTGTGGTCTGGAGATGAGCTGTAAGTCTGGGGGATCCCCAGGTCCCACCTGGAAGTTGGCATCCCTGTGTGTAGCCCTTGTTCCTCATTCTTGCCTGTTCCAAATTAATAGCTTCTGTATTTGTTTGGAACAAGTTTTATTTCTTTTGCAAAGGCAGCCTTTAGGAGAGGAGCAGTCTGAGAGAGGGATACTGCCCTTCTCACTAGCAAAAGCCATAATAGCTGCTTTTACTCCTGCTGGGAGAAAACATATACGTGTAATAAGTGTTCTCCAGAGGGGCTAAAAGCAGCCGGAGGGTCCTTTATCAGTGAGAAAGCAGCAGGGGAGGAAAGGGTTAGGGTTTCTCTCTTTCTCTCTCTCCATGCCATTCTCCTTCTTGGTAAACAATCTGGGAGAGGAGGCCACATTTACAAAGGGGAAAAAAAGTTCTTTTTAAAATAAACACAGAACTGTGTAGTGGAACCTCTTTGATAAAGTCCTCTAATGCTTTGACTTGTGCTCTGGATCCAGTTTCCGCTTGGCTTTTCATCTCTTGCTCCGTGGCCTTACTGATATCTCTAATCTCTCTCTTTCTGCTGGCCCTTTTCTTTCTTTATTTAAACAGGCGACTCTGCTGCTATTTTGAAAATGGTCCCAACTCTCTAATTATCATCCACCTTCACCTCCTTCCATTCTTTCTTTAAGCTTCATGCCCTCTTTCAGACTTACTGTCCCGACATCTAATTCTTAGATCAGGGGTTCCCAACATGGTGACTGTGGGTGCCGTGGTAACCACTGACACCTCCCCCTGCTGCCTGCCAAATAGGGTTGCCAGCATCCAGGTGGTGGATGGAGATCTCCTGGAATTACAGCTGATCTCCAGGTGACTGAGATCAATTCACCTGGAGAAAATGGCCTCTTTGGACAGTGGACTCAGTGGCATTCTACCCCATTGAAGCTCCTCCCCTCCCCAAGCCCCACCTTCCTCAGGCTCCACTCCTATAATATCCAGGTATTTCCCAAATCGGAGCTGGCAACAACCCGAAAGTGGGCAGGGCCAGGTGGGGCTTTTGCCCAGCAGTGCTTCTGATTGGCCGTGCAGATTGAAAGACATCCTGTTAAACAGAGCCTCTGCCTAAAATGTTGAAGAGGTACTATTACAGTTTATATATAACCCGGCTCGCTGAAATGTTGTGGGTGGCTGTACCGCCTGCGGCAGCCATTTTATGATTATGCCCACTGCCCCGTAGGAATTGTAGGAATTCCAAAGGTGCCCACTGGCTCGAAAAGACTGGAGACCCCCCCGTGTGAGATTCTTACCAACATGCCTTTCCTCTGCATCACTACAGAAATTGCCCTAGCTTGGATCTCCAAGGATCTTCTTAAAGCTAAATGGACTCCAATTTTGTTTTGTGTTTGTGTGTGTATGCGCGTGCACACACACACACAGAACCTTTTGCTATATTAGGAGTTGATGGTGTCTGTTCTTCCTGGATGATGATTCTGTCTCAGTGTACATTTCCCCCCCAACTAGATTCGAGTCCAGTAGCACTTTAAACACCAACAAAATTTCTGGGGTACGAGCTTTTGAGAGTCAAAGCTCCCTTCATCTCCAAAAATCTGTTTGGTCTCTAAGGTGCAACTGAATTCGAATCTAGCTGTTCTACTGTAAACACACACGGCTACTGTAATGATTCCATTTTTGGTGTGTGTGTTTCTTTAAATGTTTAGTGTGACTGCAGTAATGTAAGGAGAGTGACAGAGGGAGATAAGTGTTGATGTGATTGGCTGATGACTGAGAGTATGGGAGGAGAGATGTCTATGAGGGAATTCTGTGTTCTTGAAGAGAGGAGTGTGGAGAGATTTTATGAGGGAGTCTGTGTGACAGAGGAAGCCGTTGGAATTTAATTTAGCCTGTGTGGCTATATAAGAGAGAGAGAGAGATAAGCCTGTCAGAGTTGAGTTTTGGTGTATGAGAGATTGTGTGTGACGACAAGCCTTGTCAGTTATATTTTCTTTCTTCAACAACAGTTCAAAAATACCCAGAAACCTATTTTGTTATTTTATAAATAAATCGTTATTTGTTTAAACTTATCCCAGCAATCAGAACAGTCCTTTCTCAGGGCCACATAGTCCTCTGAAGTGTCCAGACACTGGGTCATTCTACCAAAAGAGAGAGATTTGGAATTTTTAATTCCTGGTGGCAGCAGAAATCTACTAAGTTCAAGTACACAGAGTGTGTTTTAAAGGAGAAACAGTCTCCCCAATAAGAAAGGACGTCACAGTGGTCCTTGACCCTTCCAGGTTCACACACACACACACAGCAGTCCACCTGTTCCTCTCCCATTGTGTTGGGCAAATTCCTCAGCCAGATCTTGCAGCTCAGCTGCCAGAAAATTCTCAGGGAGAGTGATGGTCTCTTTCAGGCCCTTGGCCTTGCTGCAGGCCACCCATTACAGGCCTCAGGATGGAACTGGAGGAATTGTTCCAAGACCTAGTCAATTTTGTTGTTCTCCCCATCAGTCAAGGGCCAGTCACTTCTCCTAAAGGTGATGGTCCAGAACTTCTGGAGATATACATCTGGTGAGATTTAATAGCAGTCTAGGATAGAGGTTTTGGCTGTGTCATAGGTGGCACCCTCTTCCTTAGACACCGCCTTGAGTGCTGCTTGGGCATCCCCTATCAAGAAGGGGCCCAGAATGAAATCCCACTGTTCTTCCGACCTCTGAAGTGCTTCTGCCAACCTCTCAAATGTTTCTGGAAAGGCATCAGTGTTGTCTTCTACTCATAACTTAGTCAGTTGCAAAAGCAAGCCGGAAGTGAAGTGCAAGTGAAACCAGAAGTTCCTTCTTCCTCAAAGTGCTAAGCAAACAATCACTTTATACGATTATAATGATGTACATATATGGGTGCAGTCATGCAGCGGTGACAAGGCACATGTTGGGCACATCGTGTAGTTAGACACTATTTTTATCATGAGTTTATATAGTAAACCTTTAAAAACTTATCCAGAATGTTTGCTTTTTCCTCAGGATCAGATCCACAGATGCCTGGAGACCGTGAAAAATGAGAGAAAGAAAATTCTGGCCTATAAAGCGGATGCTGAAAAGCAAAGCAAACACCTGCTTGTAAGCATCATTATTACTGACAAGAACTGAACAAGAACGGAAAGTATTATCAGGGAAAACAGAATATAAAATGCCCTGCTCCTCATCAGTTAAGAATATAAGAGAAGCCATGTTGGATCAGGCCAATGATCCATCCAGTCCAACACTCTGTGTCACACAGTGTCCAAAACCCAGGTGCCATCAGGAGGTCCACCAGCGGGGCCAGAACTCCAGAAGCTCTCCCGCTGTTGCCCCCTCCCCAAGCACCAATGATACAGAGCATCACTGCTCCAGTGATAGTGTTCCATCTATAAATGTAAAGGTTTCCCTTACTCGAAAGCCAGTCAAATCTGACTCTAGGGGGCAGTGCTCATCTCCGTTTCCAAGCAGAAGAGCCAGTGCTGTCCGAAGACTCTTCTGTGGTCATGTGGCTATCTCCCCACTGAAGCGGTGCCTATTTATCTGCTTGCAGTTTCTTGCTTTGGAACTGCTAGGTTGGCAGGAGCTGGGGCCACTTCATCACGTGGCACTAGGGTCTCGAACTGCCAAGCTACCAAACCCCCAATCTGCAGTTCAGCATCTTAACCTCTGAGCCACCACGGCTATACCTTCGATGCCTTCTGGCTAACAGTCACTGATGGACCTCTGCTCCATATGTTTATCCAATTCCCTCTTGAAGCTGTCTATGCTTGTAACTGCCACAACTTCTTGAGGCAATGAATTCCATCGGTTAATTAGTTACTCTTTGGGTGAAGAAGTACTTCCGTTTATCTGTTCTAAGCTTACTGCTCATTAATTTCATTGAGTGCCCACAAGTTCTTGTATTGTGAGAAAGGGAGAAAAATACTTCTTTCTCTGCCTTCTCTATCCCATGCATAATTTTGTAAACCTTTGTCATGTCACCCCTCAATTGTCGTTTCTCCAAGCTAAAGAGCCCTAACCTCGTTAACCTTTCTTCATATGGAAGGTGTTCCATCACCTTAATCATTTTAGTTGCCCTTTTCTGCACTTTTTCCAATGCTGTAATATCTTTTTTGAGGGTCGGTGACCAGAACTGTACACAATATTTCAAATGAGACCACACCATTGATTTATATAGGGGCATTATGATACTGGCTGATTTGTTTTCAACCCCCTTCCTAATAATCTCCATCCTAGGATTTGCACACTGGGTAGACATATTCAATGAGTTAACTACCACGACTACAAGATCTCTCTCCTGGTCAGTCTCCACCAGTTCAGACCCCATCAACGTATACTTATAGTTAGGATTTTTGGCTCCAATGTGCATTACTTTGCACTTGCCTATGTTGAACCTCATTTGCCACATTGACGCCCACTCGCCCAGCCTTGACAGATCCCTCTGGAGCACCTCTCAGTCCTCCCTGGTTCTCACCACCCTGTGCATCTTAGTGTTATTGGCAACCTTAGCCACTTCACTGCTTACTCCCAACTCCAAATCATTAATGAACAAGTGAAAAAGCACCAGACCGAGTACTGATCCCTGTGGTACCCCACTGCTTACCACCTTCCACTGTGAAAACTGCCCATTTAGACTCATTCCCTGTTTCTTGTTAATTAACAAGTTTTTAATGCACAAGAGGACTTGTCCTCTTATCCCATGACTGCTGAGTTTACTTAGGAGCCTTTGATGAGGAACTTTATCAAAAGCTTTCTGGAAGTCTAAGTAAACAACATCTATGGGGTCACCATTGTCCACCTGTTTGTTCACCCCCTCAAAGAACTATAAAAGATTAGTGAGATAAGATTGTCCTTTACAGAATCCATGCTGAGTCTGCCTCAATAGTTTTTGTTCATCAATGTGCCTACTAATTCTGTCTTTAATAATGGATTCCATCAATTTACCTGGTAGAGATGTTAGCCTGTAATTTCCCATATCTCCTCTGGTATTTTAAAAAGATGGGGGTTACGTTAGCTACCTTCGTCCTCAGAAATAGAGGCAGATTTTAGTGATATATTGCATATTTTTGTCAGGAGATCCGCAAGTTCACATTGGAGTTCTTTCAGAACTCTTGGATGTATGCCATCTGGGCCTCATGATTTGTCAGTTTTTTAATTTGTCCTTCAAGTGTAGGACCTCCTCTCTTGTCACCTCAATCCAGCTCAGATCTTTCAACACCCTTTCTGATATGGGTGGTTCTGAAGTGGTCAAGCACCTCCCATCTTTTACAGTGAAGAAAAAGGCAAAAAATGCATTAATCTCCTCTGCCATTTCCCTGTCATCTTTTAGTAATCCTTTAACCCCTTGGTTATCCAATGGCCCCACTGTCTCCCTGGCTGGTGTCTGCTACTAATATATTTGAAGATTTTTTAATTGTTGAACTTTATGTTTTTGCACTAGCAGCAGCAGCAACCTTAGGAGTTGAAACCTGGATCACTAAATAGAGGGAGAGGGTCTTCTTAACCCTTTTCAATCCAGAAATTCTTTTCAAAGAAATTATTCCCCACACACACACACACACACAGGGTGAATCAATTTTAGTGCAGAAAATCAGAGGAGAAAGAATTAAGAAATTCCATCAGCGTCCACTATGGTTGCCAGGTCTTACCTTTTTTTAAACATTTATTTATTAGTTTTACAAGTACACAGACATAAATCTCCGTAATTTTCCTACATTGTGAGTCTATCATTCTACATCATAGTTTATCCATTTATAGACTCTCGACCATCTTTTCATATACATTTCTTCATCCTTGCCTTGCATTATTAAACTCAGCTTGTCTATCTCTGCTAAATTCAACAGTCTATAAGTTAATTCTTCCCTACTGGGAGTTTTCTCTGATTTCCAATATCTTGCCAATAAAATTCTAGCAGATGTTATTATCAATATCATTAAATACATATCCTGAAATTTAACGTCTTCAGGGATCACATTAAGTAAATAACAATCTGGATCTAATCTTAGGTTTACATTAACAATTTCCAAGATTATTTTCTGTACCTTTCACCAGCATTTTTTTATTTTAACACACCACCACCATATGTGATATAATGTACCAACATTAACTTTACATTTCCAGCATTTGTTCAAACTATTTTTATAGCATCTTGCTATTTTTTCTGGGGGCCAATACCATCTATGAAACAACTTGAGAATATTTTCTTTATATGATATGGCCCTCATGAATTTGGTTGTTTTCCAAATTTTTGACCAGGCGTCTATATCTAAGTTGTGGCCTATATCCCTCATCCAAGAAATCATTAAAGGTTTAAGTGCTTCATCTAACATATACTCCTCTAATAAAAAATTATACAATTTCTGAATAATTTTATCATTTGAGGAAAGCCTAATCTTATTCAGCTCATTTTCATTACATTCAAAACCATGTATCACATCTTTACTATATCTAGATTTTAATTGTAAATTTTGCCGCCAGAATAGTTGAATATTATGGTGCAACAAAAGTTTCTCCTCTGTTTTTAATTCATTATTCTTATCTAATAATACTTCATAACTTTCTCTGTTACTTTTTGTGATTAGAGATGGTTTTAATTGGTTTAAATGGAGTTAATTGGTAGTAGCCAGCGTGGGTTTATCAAGAATAAGTCATGCCAGACCAACCTTATCTCCTTTTTTGACAGAGTTACCAAAATGGTTGACTCTGGCAATGCTGTGGATGTAGTTTATCTAGATTTCTATAAAGCATTTGACGAAGTTTCTCGTTATATCCTTGAGGATAAGCTGGTTAAGTGTGGGCTAGGATGTTGACAAGCTCGAGCGTGTCCAGAAGAGGGCAACCAGGATGGTGAGAGGGTTGGACTCCAACTCTTATGAGGAAAGGCTGAAAGAGTTGGGTAGCCTGGGAAAGAAAAGGCTTAGAGGGGACATGATTGCAGTCTTCAAGTATTTGAAGGGCTGTCATGTAGAAGATGGAGCAGATCTATTCTCTCTTGCTCCGGATTGCAAGACTAGATCTAATGGGTGGAAATTACAAGGGAGTCGTTACCGGCTAAATATCAGGAGAAACTTCCTAACTGTAAGAGTGGTTGAGCAGTGGAACAGTCTGCCTTGGGAGGTGATGGATGCTCCTTTGCTGTATGTTTTCAAGCGGAGGCTGGATGACCATCTTTCGGGTATGTTGTAGGCATGTAGGGGTATCTTTCAGCTATGCTCCTGCAGAGTGCAGGGGGTTGGACTAGATGACGTGCAAGATCCCTTCCAACTCTAACATTCTATGATTCTATGAAACCCATTTTGGAATTTTTGTATAGTATCTCTCTTTTATTTATTTATTATTTATTTATTTTATGACATTTATACCCCGCCCTCCCTGCAAACGGGCTCAGGAGAAATGTTCCAAGTTTTTACTAATGCTCCCCTTATTATATGATGATGGAAATTGGAATGAATTTTATCTTTCCCATACTAGACATATGCATGCCACCCCATGCATAGATCATGTCGTTCTAGTTTCAAACTTCTAACATTTTCCAATTGTATCCAATCTTTGATCCAACATAATGTGGCTGCTTGATAGTATAGTTTCCTAAAGTTTCCAGTTCGAGACACCAAATCCTCCTCTTCCTTTCCCCCACTGTAGCTTCCATTTTATTCTGGCTTTTTTAGAGTGCCAAATAAATTGTCTGGTAATCTTATCTAAATCTAAGAAAAATTGAGATCTCTTTTAAATTGGGATACTTTGAGCTAGAAATAGAAATCTTGGAAGTATGTTCATTTTTACTGTGGCTATTCTTTCTATGAGTGAGAGCTGTAGATTTTTCCATTTATTCAGGTCTTTTTAAATTTCAACTAGTAATTTGTTATAATTGTCTTCTATTAAATTGCTATTTCTGTTAAAAATAATACCTAAATATCTAACTTTTTTGGCTATCTCCATGGAGCATATTTTTTGAATTTCATATATCGTGTCTGGAGGGCAGTTTTTAGTTAGCAGTTTAATCTTTTTGAGATTAACTTTGAGACCAGCGACTAGGCCATATTCTTGATTTAAATCCAATAACTGAGTGATGGAATCTTTAGGGTTCTCCATTATAAATA